ATATATATATTCTGTGAGATTGGATATGATGATAACCTAATATAAAAAAGTTGTTGTTGTTAAAAGTGACGAACAAAACTTGATTACAAATATATATAGCCAGTATTATCTTTTGTATTTATTGTGTTTGCTTATTGTAATGTATGTCAATCATCAAAAAACAACACAGTTGAGCTTCTTTTACCCCAATCTTAATATTCTTTAAGAAATATTTTCCACATATTTCTGAAATAAATGTATTGAACTTTGACTATCCCATATACTGAGATAGCAACAATTATCAAGATAGTCTTCTTTACTTCTGGGCTAATTGGCCTAATGTGTAAGGTCTTCTAGCCCCAACATGGCTGCAGAACGCGAGCTGGTGGCAAGGGATCCTAAGATCTGGCAGTGGAGGTGTCATCGCAGGGGTGGAGGAAGCTTGGAGATGGCAGGGAAACAGCGCCTTGTTGCAGTGAGATTCAAGATTCTTGGCAGGGGACGGAGTCCATTAGTGAAGGCAGGAGGTCCTGGAAGCCTAGAACTTGAGGCAGGCCCTAGACTTCAGGATGGAGCAGCTTGTCAAGATAGCAGAAGCTCTGTTATATTTAAGGAAGAAAAAGCTCCATATCTCAGTCAAATAGATTTAAATTGAAACTGACAGTACCATTCTGATGACACTGACAAAAGTTACTTTGTACGGAAAAACACAAAATGCAATAGACTAAGGCCTAGAGTAATAGTAACTAAACACACAAAAATCGTACACTCAAGATTAAAACACAAAAAAAAAGAGGTAAAAAATAATTCACAATTTGTTAAATAAAATAAAAATAAAAACAGTACTTATATTTATTGCTGCTTAGGTAGGGATCGGACTGGGGTTACACAGGGAATGCGTAGAGATCACCAGACACGGATAAAATAGGAAGAGAACACAACAACAACAAAAGCCTTTATTAAGGGCATTCCGCCCCATATAGGATTCGCCGTATTTACACATCAACAAGAGGAGAGGGAAGAGGAAACATTTACAACAAAATAAAGTTTGTCTCACATTCAGTTACCTATTTACAGATAGGTCATCCTCCAGTATCCTTTGCCCTGCATTCTTTCTCATGCGCCCAGCTTCTGTGCAGAACTTAAAGTATCTAACAATCAGTAATTCATCATCCAGAGCTGAAGAGAGAAGTTGACATATGCGATGGTATCTAAATTGACCAGAGTTAGGGCTTGGGAATATTTCAGTACGTTTTTCTGTTAAGACAGGGCATTGGAAGAAATAGTGAACCAAATTATCATTCATGAGATCCTTACAAAGTAAACAGTTCCGGCCATTTTCTTTCCAGAAGTATTTTCTTTCTTCCCTGGAGAATTGCCATAAAACTCTATGTTGTGCAACTAGTCTTTTGTTGGGAAGCGGGATATTTAATCGTAGGTACTCCTCTGTCATGAATGATTCACTCAAAAATTTATAGTAAGCAAAGTGGGTTGAATCAATGATTTTCATCTGATCGTTTTGAATTAGTTGGTCTGTGGTGGTTCTAATTATGCCTGGCAGTTCTTTCTGTATGGCTAAGTAGTCTTCGCAGCCCTTAAGAAAGGAATATCTCTTAGAGTCTATTATTTTTATTAAATTTTGAGTAAAACTGTTTTCTATTTCCTTTTTCGCGGTGACTTTCCAGAGATAGTTTAAGCAAGCATGTGGTAATCTGCTCGTCTCCATTTTTAAGATCCTGACCCAAAACTTTAATGCGAGTTCTACAGCATTAAGTTCAGTTGATATTCTTCCACATTCTCTTCTGAGGATATATCTTGGTGTGAAGCTTGGTAAGTCTAAGAGACGGCGAAGAAATGCATATTGGGTATTATTGACTGTCTTCAGCTGGTTAATTGTCAACCATTGGTTTTCTTTTTTCGATTTTAATTTTATTATGTTTCAGATTTAAGCCCTTAAGTTGACTTTCTTTAATGGTATGAGTCTTGCTATGTGAAATATGAGGAGTTCCTGTGAGTTGAGTTTTGTTTCTAGATTGTGCATCTTCATTTGTATGTATTTTATTACCTGAATATTTACATCTATTTAAAGAGGTCCGCGGGTGTGCCTCTCGCTATATTGATTCTCCTTTGGCATTCACCACCTGTCCCTCCATTACCATGTAGTTGATGCCGTTTAGGAGAAGTTTATTATCCCTCAACTTCGATCTTATACCTTTCTTGTAAAGTTCCTTTCTCCTTTCTATTAAAATTTATCTCTGCTCTCTAATCTGGGGGCTGTAATCCCTGCTCATAAAAATATTGAGTATTCGAAGTTTGGATGAGGTCTTTAGGAGACTTATTCTGGTCCCCTGCCCAGACGATGACATTCGGCAATTACCACATCATCAGTAATCTGCATATCTTCCGCCATTAACTTCTTGACCTTTTGTAGCAGCAATTCCCGGGTGTCAGTCTCTGCTGATTCGATGCCATATATTATTAAATTGTTTTCTCGGGCTCGTCTCTCCAAAGCTTCCGCGCGTTCTTCCAGATTCCTTATTTTTATGGTATTGTGAGAAATTGACCTCGTGTTAGTCGTCAGTGCATCTGTGCACGAAGCTATAGATGTTTCCATTCCAGTCATTCTTCGATCCCAATCCTCCATCTTCTGCTCAATATTGAGCAACCTTGCATCAATTTTCTCTCCCAATCTTTTCACTTCAGCCGAAAGGTTAATTATTAGTAGCTTTTAATCGTCCATTGGTGCCTGGTCCGGAGTTGAGTGAGGCAAATTTGTCAATGTGGTCTGTCTTTTCGGCCCTGGATTTAGTTCTATACATCCAATTATCAGTAAGGCCGTGATCACTTTCAGCCAGTAAGTCATCGAACATTCCATCAAAGTTACACCAGTTCTATCCTTGTAATATTTCATCTTATTGAGTTTAGTCTTAAAATCGGCGAATTTTACCGTAAGCTCTATTGGCTTTGTTATGCAAATCACCATGTATAAAACAATCGTCAAATATTCAAATTTTGCAATTAATCTCATTTTGTTTCACCGTTAACTTTATTTTACTTTTCAATATGATACACTGCGTGACATTGAAAATGGAACACCAAGAAATAGTGGCCAGAAAGTGATGAAACTCGGCAGACAGAGAGAGATAGGGACGAACAATAAGTGATCTTTATTTCAAAATGATAGTCATAATACAGAGCGAGAACGGCGTCGGCTTAGTAGCAAGTAGGACCACCGCGGACGGCGATGCACGCAGCAACACGTCTAGGTAGAGAGTCAATCAGAGTACGGATGGCGTCCTGAGGGATGGCTCTCCATTCCCTCTCAACCATTTGCCACAGTTCGTCTTCTGAACGCGGCTGTGGCAAGGCATGCAAACGGCGTCCAATGATGTCCCAGACGTGCTCGATTGGTGAGATCAGGAGAGTACGGTGGCCAGGGAAGCATCTGTACATCTTGCAGAGCTTGTTGGCTAATGCGAGCAGTGTGCGGTCGGGCGTTATCCTGCTGATAAAGGGCATTGGGTACCCCCTGAAGGTAGGGGAGTGTCACCGGTCGCAGCACATCATCAACGTATCGTTGGGCCGTCATAGTGCCCTGAATACGAAGTAAAGGTAACCTGGAATCATACGCGATTGCGCCCCAAACCATGATTCCACGTTGTCGCACGGTGGGGCGTTCCACAATTGCTGCCGGATTGGACCTTTCTCCACGTCGACGCCAACGCGTATACGGCGACTATCACTGGACAAGCAGAAACGCGACTCATCTGAGAACACGACCCTGTGCCATTCCGTCATCCACGTCGATCTAGCCCGGCACCATTCCAAACGTTGGCGCCTATTCGGTGGGGTCAATGGCAGTATTCTTAGCGGACGGCATGAGTGCAAGCCATTAGCAACCAATCGACGGGAAATGGTTCTGGTCGAGATGGAATGATCTAGGGTGTCTTGCACATGTTGCAGGATGGCGGTACAAGTGGCTTGTGGGGCCGCCACTGCTTGTCGAAGGATACGCCGATCCACACGTGCTGACGTCACTCTGGTTGCACCGGCATTCCTATAAATTGCCACATTTCCTTGTTCCAACCATCTTTTCCACAGTCGGTGCACCGTGGACGCAACAAGGTGTGTATCAGCTGCGATTTGACGTATGGACCAACCTGCCCTTTTCAGTCCGATCACCATGCCCCTCGTAAAAGCGTCTGTCTGCTTGAACTGCCTCCGTTTACGATGACCTGGCATTCTCTGTTATTACACGTGTCTTTTGACACAAGAACAAAATTTCTACAATGATTTTCCTTGAAGAAATAACGACACGAATACTGTCCTTTCTGCAAGTTCCTTCCCTTATATCTTACTCCATGTGCGCACGAGAGCTGCGCATTTTACATCATTTGCATAACTCGGTTAGGCGCGTCTACCCTGAAATTTGCATAATTTTCTGGCCACTATTTCTTGGTGTTCCATTTTCAATGTCACACACGCAGTGTATAAATAGTATTATTTAGAATATCGAATTTAAAATATCAAAAAACAAGGAGAAAAATATCTCTAGGTCAAAAAAGAAAGAAAGAAAGTACACTTATCTGGAGCCGTAGCGCGGTGCGACCGTCCAGCCCTGTCTCCTTGCGGCGAATCCTACAAAGAGAACACTATAAGCGTCTCTACACAAAACTTTTAACCACACTTCCCTCGTGCATTTCCTTAACCCCCTTTATATACAAACATGGCCACATTCGTCCAATTAGAATGCTTGAGAGATCGGTTTACTTATCTGATAAAAACAACGTTCTTCGCACTAAAGAAATAGGATAAGCGTGCAAATATTTGTCAATATAATTTGACAATACAACAACAAAAATAAATTTCGATAAAACTATCCCTTGAATCAGTATCAAAACAAGAACATTAAACCTCAAGGAAAAAATTTCCTTTAAAATATTTTTTTATTTAAAAATCTCTCAAGCTTTCGTGTAAGAAAGCCTTTCTACGGGAGAAAATATTTTACATTATTAAAATACGCCAATAAGGGTAGCCTAGTGGACATGGCATCTGCCCAGTAAGCGGAACGCTGTGGGTTCGGTTTCCTATCCCTGGACACTTTTATTTTTCCGTTTATCATTACTCTTCACAATTCATCCTTTCATAACTCATCTCTAAGGTTAGAAATAATCGTTATTTCTCCTTCAAAAATAAATTTCGATTTTTCATTTAAAAGAAACTCATGCGGGATAATTTTCCAATGTCGTTTTACAATAAAAATAAGTGAAAAAATAGTACAAATGTGTGATATTGTACTGGGATAAGGTGCATAATTATGAAAAAAGGCATCTCCTTATCGTGCAACTGAAAGTTGCTGATGGCTTGCGCCATCTATCGGAATAAAAATCAACTATTCTCGTTGATTTATAATTATTCCAGAATTGGCCAAATACACATTCTTGATTAATCAAGAAAAAAAATCAAGGTCCGTGGTTGGCTTTTCTTGGTTAATTAAGAATGGGTATTTGGCCAATTCTGGAATAATTAAAAATCAACGAAAATAGTTGATATTTATTCCGATAGATGGCGCAAGCCATCAGCAACTTTCAGTTGCACGATAAGGAGATGCTTTTTTTCATAATAAAATAAATATATCGCCAAATTAAATTAATTTTTATTTAAACCAGATTCACAAAAAAAAATCATTTCAACTTATTTAAATTGGCGTATTTTAATGATGTAAAATGTTTTCTTCCCGTAGAAGGGCTTTCTTGTCCGAAAGTTTGGGAGATTTTTAAATAAAAAATATTTAAAAAGAAACTTTTCCCTGGAGGCTTTATGTTCTTATTTTGAAAAATATTTTTTAAAATTTTTAAACTTTTTAAAAATGTGATTAACAATCTAAAGAATAACTTGCATATTTTCATTCTAATATATTCCTTAAAACTTTCTTCAATCTTTTTGAATTGTATATACAAAAATGTAATGCCTCGATAAAGGTTGGCGTTCAGCCAGCCGAAATATTGGCAAAATAAATATTTTATAAAATCCAATATATGCCTTTTATTATCTAATTTCTTCAATCTGTAAATTGTTTTCCTCGAATACACACAATACAATTTGATTTCATTTAACTAAATTTGTATACAAACCCTTTGTACATATATCAATTGTGTTGATATTTTTTCTTTTTTCGTCTAACTAACTTGCATACTAATTCTTGTACATATTTCAAATATCTTTCTTTTTATGTTTAGTTTACCTTTAAAGTGAAAGTGTCCCTAGTGGAACATAGTGCTCTAAGTCGATATAAAATAAGCGAGATGTAAACATAACCTTTAGAAATTTGGTGGATTGGTAGATTAAATTGGCGAAACCGCTGGGAAGGTTCACCACTGATGAGCCAAGCCCTCCCAATATATTTTTTCATCGCAATAAGGACAGTAGAAGTTTGTTTTATTTATAAAAGAAACATTCGTGCTTTAAAATCCTTTCATTTTATATGTAATAGTTTGTGTTAGCGCGCCATCTGTTATCAAAATTCGAAACTATTATAGACACGTATGATTCTTTTTAAAAATAAACAATTTCTACTGTCCTTACTGTAATGAAAAAAATATATTGGGAGGGCTTGGCTCATCAGTGGTGAACCTTCCCAGCGGTTTCGCCAGTTTAATCTACCATTAGGTAGAGCCAGATGAGCCATCATCAGTGGTACCGTTGCATCAACCGCTGGGAGGGTTCACCACTGATGAGCCAGGCCCTCCCAATAATTTTTACATTGCAGTAAGGGCAGTAGAAATTGTTTAATTTTTTAAAAAGAATCATACGCGTCTATAATAGTTTCGATTTTTTGATAATAGTTTGCGAATTTTAAACACTCGGATAAAATTGTATTGAAAAAAAAATCAAAAGAAAGGATTAAATGATAATCATATATTCGCACAACCTATTCAGTCACCTTTTTAATAAATATAATTAGTTTCAGCCACAAATGTTTTAAACCGTTTTATATTGTTCCTTCTTATCAATTTATTTCACAATAAACTCAGGAAGCCTCTGGGACCAACAGTCTGCAACACGCTGACGAGGACCAACAGCCCGAAACACGTACCTGGTTAACTTTTCTTGATTTATCAAAAAATTGGGTAGGCCAAGTGTTATTGGGACCAATTTTAAATCAATGTTTAGTTGATTTTTTCTCCACTAGATGGCGCTCTGCTATCTAAAATGTTCATGTGGGCGGTCAGGAAAAGTCATTTTCATTTTTAAAAATATATATATATGTATTTAAAGAGACAAAGGTCGCCTCTCCCGTCAAAATAGACGTCTTACCCCGAAACCATGGTCTCTAGGTGGACGCTTTTCACTTTGCCAAAGCTGGTGCTGTGGCTTTGTCACCGACCTGAGGCCGCTAGTTTGCGACGACGGTCAATAGATGGCGTCAGGTTTTGACGTCTATTTTGACGGGAGAGGCGACCTTTGTCTCTTTAGATCAATATCCTTCCGGCAAAATTTCCATCTATATATATATTTTTATAAGAGAAAAATATAATTATAGTATAGTTAGAATTCATGACAGATGGTGCCTATTATATTTTACTATGTTATCATCTTAACAAGCTACTTTATTCTAGAAATTGTATCTAACGTCAGCCAATCACGTCAAAGGAAACATATACGTTCAATTATATAGATAAATATTTAACTTTGGGTTTGGCCAAGGTTAAATACGGGAGGCAGGGGGGTGGCGTATCATGAAATATGTACAAGTTAATCGTCTGAACGTGCGCGCCATGTTCTGCAAGTTAACTAGGGTATCACTTCCGTGATCGTCTGCTCACAAATTTGCATAGCCTCGAAGCTATAAATCGCGCTCTTTTAATGAAAAATTTTATGAGTTTTTTAAAATTATTTTTATATTTTTTCATTTCTATTAAAGTTATCAATAAAATCTCCATTAATAATGAAGAGAAATAGTTTAATATTTTTTAAAAGCTTACAGAATAAATGATCAATTAATTATTTATTTGCATAGCCTCGGAAAAACTATAAATCTCGCTCTTTTATACAAATTTTTAAGAGAGTTTTTTATTATTATTAGTTTTCATTTCTATTAAAGTAATAAATAAAATCGCCAATAATAGTGGAGGAAAATAGTTTATAATTTTTTAAAATTTCCAAAATATTATTTATAAAGACCTATAAAACTTATGTCCATAGGTTCCCTAAACACCCCTAAGCTGTCTTCCATAGTAAATACAGGGTATATAAGAAAAAACAATCCAATACAATAGTAGGGTGGGCTGGAGATTAATTTGGCGGAACTGTTGAAAGGGTTCACTACTGATGAGCCAAGCCCTCTCATTCAATAACTTTTATCATTTCAGTAAGGTCTGTAGAGATAATATTTGATACTAGGTGGAGCAGATAATCAAACATAAAGTTATCTTGCCAAGTATAGATTCATTAGGGATTGGATGTTTTCTAGAATTGTTTTAACAAATGTTCGTTAGACAAACCTTTACTCGGGTAAAAACCGGAATATTATTATCATTAATATCATAATATTATGTGTGTTCCGGAATATTATTATCATTAAAATCATATTATGTTCCGGAATATTATTATCAATAATATTCGTTAGGCAAACTTTCCCTCGGATGGGCGAAGCCGGGTACATCCGCCAGTATTTGATATGTAAAAAGAAACATGCATTGCCAAAAAATAATTTATTACAAATTTTAACGATAGATAGCAATTGAATATCAATGGTACATATACACAATATACACCTATCCCCAGATTTAAACGGTACTTGTTTTACACGTTTTCGCTTTTACACGGTTTTCCAAATAAGTTTTTTTTATCGCACTATACTAAATGCGATATTCTACTCTATACTACCTATGTTGAAAAGAATATTGGGAGGCTCTGATTCATGAGGGGGCGAACACCTATTCAGATTTGACAGTTTAATATACACCTATCCCTCGATTTACACGTTTTTCTCAGGAACGTATCTACCGTGTAAAAATCGGGGGATAGGTGTATATGATTTATAATCATTTATTTATCATTCTATGAAAATTTTTAATCAACTTGTCCATATGTAAATGGGAAATTTTTATGTTTATGTTAGTAAAAGTAACAACACTAAACAATTCCCCATTTTTATTAATTTCATGATAATCTCCTTTTTGAAAAAAAATCATTACTTCTAAATATGTTAGATTTTATATATAAATAGTGTGTTTACATTTTCATAAAAAGATGGCATGTTATCGCATCATGCTAGCTTTCGAGAAAGAGTTGGATTATCTTTCTCAAAGAGCTAACATGTATATGCTGTTTAGAATTATTGAATGTTTGTTTTATATAAAGGGGATATATATATTTTCCAAAAAAAGTTAATAAAATTGGGGAATTTATTAACGCTGTTTAAAAGTAATTATAGTTTTATTATTATTATTATTATCCCTAGTATACTTGGTACAGGCTATGATAATCATGGTGGGTAGTAGTTGGCAACTACTTTTGCTGTAAGTGTGGCACATGTCTACACATATGAAAAGCTTAGCTCGACATTTGCACTTAAAAGAATGCCAGAGCCCTGTTTGGTTAGTTGCACTCGCTGATGGGGCTGGACTTTTGCAAGAATCAGGGGCCATTGGAGCATTTCAATGCTGCATTCGATCGATCCTTCCTGGCTCGTAGTGATCGAAAACCAAAGTCTTAAGCCACTCTTTTACCGAAATTAGTTCTATGTCACAGAATTTGGAATAATTATCCTCTTTCTCATCGAAGCCTTCTTCAACAGCAGCCAATCAGAACAATTGGATGACATCACGTTATGTAGTAATCCCACCTGATTGGTCAGATTCGCATTAATCGACATTTCGAACAGTGAGGAAATTTTCCTAGCAGCAGTTGAAATAACTCAGAAGGAAGTTTATACTCAGAAAGAAAAGAAACTCAAAGGGAGAATTAATAGAGAAGATATTATAAAGGAGGAAATAATAAAAACGAAACTTAAGAATGACTAGTAATTGAATATAATGCTGGTTGCTCAAGGTAACAGAAATAAATGCTAAAAGAAAGTATGAGTACTCACTGCC